TATACGGTTGTATGCCGAAGGACACGACCTACTTATAAACCCGGGCAGAACATTCTAGCATGCTCTGGAAAAAAAATTGTACTGGATATTCAAGAAATTCCGAGAACTTTATTTCCAATCAGATACCTCCACGCTACCCATATAAAAAATACTCGTTTGTATTATTGTGCTTCTTAGGAAAATTGTCGATGGTGCCACACCTGCGGTTGCCGATGCATCCCCACAGCCCTAGATCCAAGCGACGTCCGAGTGAATAATTCACTTTGGGTTCACCTTAAGTGGTAAAATTCCCCAGGGCAAATTAAAAATTAAAAAATTTAAACCTCCATACTAATGGGAAAGACAGGATTATAGAGAGGGGGATTAACCGTTGTACGTTTTATGAAGGGATTACAAGAACAGTCCACTTTCATAGCATGCACGTCAAGAGTTCGAGCCGAAGACTGAAACAGAAGAGAAAAAAATATTCTCAGTCTTTCTTCCCTCTCCTTTCCCACTTCCTGTCTCCCATTCGAACTTATTTTTCCCCCTTTCTTCTTTCATATAGTCAGTCCCAGCATTTCCAGAAATTGATCGTGATAAGAAATTGAAAGCCCATGCGGATCACGCGGCCTCTTCCTTTCCCCGCCCGGACTGTATTGTACTCGTCCCAATCCAATGGGGCATTTCCCATCATTTTGCGCAAACATCGCGATGGTCGAAGAAACTATCGATTCTTCCAAACATCGATAGTGGTATCGATGAATCGACTTATCGTGACAGTCTTACTTCATACCCAATGCCTAGTCGCAGCGTGGCATCATGCCGCATATACTAGGGGAAGGTTGGGAGGGGGCGGAAGGGCTTCTGCCCGATTATAAAACCGTTATCAGACTCACCAGTAAGCTGGTAGGAAGCTGCACGGCATAAAATAAAATATCATTAATAATTTTAATTTTTATATTGTCCTGATTAGTGCTAGTTTGCACAAAGTGGACGCTAATCACATAAAAATGCCTGTTTTATTATGGTCTTTCTTTCCACGGCGCCCCCCCCCCCTCCGCCGGCGTCCCCCTCCGCTGGCGCCCCCCTTCGCTGGCGCTCCGGGCGATCGCCCGCCTCGCCCGCCTCGCCCGCCTCGCCCGCCCCTAGAAACGGCCCTGGTGGCACGCTTCCCGTGTTTCCGCTTACTGTCGGATGTTCTCAGCGTCGGGCCAGCAGCGCTGTTTGGTAGCGTGTCCGTTACATGCTAGATTGTTGTGTAGCGTATCGCTCCTCTTGGTGCGCGGTTTTGAAGTAGCTTCCGTTTGCTCTGGAACTTTGAAGCTTCACGATGGTTTTGAGTGAAGCAAAGTTCTGATTAAGGCCTTGCATGAGGAGAAGCAATCCTCTATGAATCAAATAATAAATGAGTTTCCTAATCGTGGATGGAAGAGGAGGACTGTGGCAGACTTACTAAAAAAAGCTGAGAGAGACAGGAAGTACGGCACGACGTCAGGGCGACAGGAATTCTCGTTCTGCAACGGGAGGCCTCGTTCTGAGTGAAGATCGACGCAGACTATCATTGCTACGAGGTGCTTTCCGAGATGCTGCTTGTATCGAAGACCAAACGCCGGATTCCACTCTCGTGCTCGACGGGGCACCAGCGCACCGCTCCTGGCGCACATTCCAGTACCTGCAAGGAAAATTGCGCAGATTTCAAAGAACTTGACAACTGGTTCGCCAACAGCCCAGATTTGAACTCCATGAATTATTACGTGTTGGGAGCCTTGCAGAAGAAATTGTACCGCGGAGAGCGCATCACGACCATGGGCACTCTGCAGGAGAGGATACCAGCGTGCTGGGAACAACTGGATCAGCGCCAAATAACCGACTCGTTTCATTTGGCGAAAGAGGTTGCAGGATGTCGTTGCTGCCAAGTGGAGAAACATTGAGCCCTACCAATAGGTCTTCTCACCATCCGAAATGAGGCTGATAAACCTGTTGTAAGATGGGACAGGTATGGTTTGGGCGCGTCATTTTTTTCGAACAGCGATTATACAGAAATTAACATATTTAAAATTGAACAAAGTTGCTCCATTTTAAAGCCAATTAAATGTTCTTTCCAATGAGTCCTGCCTCATTCCTCGGATCGGATACGGAGATGTTTCAAGCACTGAAGCATCTACCTTGACTGCAAGTTTTCATAACCATTTGGCACTGCACAGTATCGTTGGCAATGTTGCTGGGAAGTTGACCACTCCGCTCCCCTCAAGTACAGCTGTAATATTGCTTGCAAATTGCCTCCCTCCTCGCTCAAATGCAATTTATTTTTACTTTTAAGGTATTGCTTTCTTGAGTAGCCGGCAAAATGCAGCCGATTCTGAATTCCACCTCACCCCCTACGTGTCCCGACACCACCATTGTAGGTCACGAGTAATTTAATCCTCATGCTTGAGACCCACATTTGGGGTTACGCCATGGAAAATGTTAAATTATCTCAGTAGTCAAACACTAGGGATATTCACTCTACAGACTACACACATGAAAACCATTCAAGCATATTTTTGCTGTGCTTGTAATGAGACCATTTCCGATTGATGCTGCAATAACATGATGCCAAGATTATTTTACAATTTCCGATAAGATATCACCCTAATGTACTGTATGACTCAGATAGTTTCCCAATCAGAGCTTTTGAATGCTTAACTCTTCCCTATCTCATCTCATCCACATTCACTCTTCATGGATGTCTGAATCTTCGATTATAGCTCTTCTTCCCTGATGTGACCTTCCTCTCTAGCAAGGCTGTACGTATGTGTGTAACTTCACAAAATATACAAATAATTTGAGCACTATTGCATATCCGTGAGCTTGCTTTAGCCTTGGAAAATCTTTAGAATAAGTAGGTAGGTACCCGCAGCCAAGACTGCGAAATTCGAATCACTTTGAGGAAAATCTGCTGTGGTTATGGTGGTTGCACACCTGCATTTCATTTTCAGTTCTACAATTCCTGGGTGAGCCTGTTGGGGACGCTAATTTGCGTGGTGGTCATGTTCATGATCCAGTGGGAAGTGGCCCTCGCTACCTTCGGCATCACCATAACCCTCTACCTCCTCGTCCACTACCGCAAACCTAGTATGCACACTTCATGCACCCTACTTATTCCTCTTCGTCTTCATTGCTTCAAATTGGAGTCTCTGACGACGTTCAGAGGCGAACTGGGGCTCTAGCACGCAAGCGCAAGTGTACTCGACCGCTCTGAAGAACTCACACGCTCTCAACAAGACGGCCGAACACGTGAAGAACTACAGACCGCAGTTGCTCGTCCTTTCTGGTCCACCCAGTTCCAGGCCTTCCCTCCTGGACTTCGCATATCTCCTCACCAAAACTAATTCCCTTCTCATCATCGGTCACGTCGTCAAGGTCGGTGTCGGACAGTCGCTTACCAGAAGGTAGAGGTTTGTAGAAAATTACAACTTTTTCAATGCGATCCAATGCATTCAGAGCTGGGTCAGCAATTGAACTAAACATTTAGTATGCTGGCTCAACAGGAGAATGATTCTTACATAATGGGGTCCCACAGATGAACTTTTCATAGGAATTATTAACCTACATACGTATTTAAGGGATTCTGTATTGCATGCTTCGAACATGATGTGGAATTGAAGATAGGAAAACTACCTCAACACAGTTTCATCTATTGCCGTATCGTAGAGATGCGGCGAAGATGAACGCTCAAAAGTGTCTCAGGCTCCATCTTCTCGTTCTATCCGGACGGTAAAAGGAGTAGTAAGAAAAAAAAGAAAAAAGAAATTTCAATAAAAAGGAATGAAATCTCAACGTGCAACGAACACAAGTCCTTCTCGTATTTCCTACAATGTTAACTTTACCTTGAAGGGTAGAAAAGAATGTAAGCGTCGGGATCTTTTTCTACTCAATAAATGGAGTGGAACTACTTAATGAAAGCAGATTCGATGAATGTAATTAACAGTGAGCGTACGTTGGAGATAATTTCCACTCACACACTATCGACTAGTCCATGTGAAATATTCAGGCAAGAAAATAATGGAAGGGGTCCAAAGTATTGCAACACGAGTGAACAACGTTAGCATCCAAAATTGTGTTTCCCGCCATCATTTAAACATCTCAGGGATACTCCGACGAACCAGTTAGTAATATATAGCCTGTGCAAGTCGAGCGAATGCACTGCATAGCGTTTGTACGAACCCGTTTTTATTTGGGATCAATATACTGTAAAACTACTTAAGATTCGTGAGCTGTCTTAAGGGGTGCGGGCGAAAGTCATTGGCATGATTGAAGTCGGAAAATCACAGAGGGAGGTTCCTGACATTCTTGGAATGCACCCAACATGTGTCAGTCGTTTATGAAAAGAAGTCCAGAGAAAGCCTCGAAAGCCCCGGACGAGCCCAAAGGCTCGGCCGGGAATCCAAAAGTCCATTCAATCCTAGCAAAAATGATCATATGTAAAAGCCTGAGATAAGAGGCATGTCCAGCCGGAAACTGGCCTCCAGATAGAAGAATTTGGGCTATAAAGAGCCTTTCTGAACAGTCCGACGCTCTCTGAAAAATGATCCAGGTGCCAAGGCACGCAAGAGGCACAAGTAGCCCTTTCTCACGGACGCCATGAAGGAGAAGTGCCTGAAGTTTACCCTGGAGCGCGAAGACTGGACTACTGGAGACTGAAAACGTATGTAATGGCCATATGAGTGTGTGTTTTAGCTTATCCTGCCATCCAACCCATAGTGTGACAGGACCTGGAGCAAAAATGGTGCCTCTGTCCTTCCCGCCACCAGTCAAGCACTCACTGAAGATCATGGTCTGAGAGATGTTCTATCCTAAGGCTGTCTCAGAGTTCCACGTGATCCCTCCAAAACAGCCCGTGAATACAACGTATCATCTGGAGAACATCTTCCAAAAGCCCTGTCTTGATACATTTAACCATAGAAGTGGCAAGATTAAACCCCGTGACGGGTGAACTGTCGATTGATCGACAGTTGTCGCTTCTAGAGTTTACAGGATAGCCGCAGGAGGATCAATTCTGGAGCAGCGCTTGGTAGAAAAAAGGACAGCGGCCATCTTCATGCATGGTAATGCCAATTGTCATGCCTCCAGAGTCACAACTGCCTGGTGTCTGAAGAACCAGTCAGCATTCTGGGGGAAGGGTCAGGGGCCAGACGACAGCCCTGACCTGAATCTCATTGAAAATCTATGGCAGATTCTCAAGGAGGAGTCCAAGAAAATGGAAGATGCCACAAGCTGCGAGCATCTTATGCAGAAAGTAAAAAATACATGGGCAAACTTGGGTTCAGGCATTCTCAAAACCAAGTAAGCAGTATACCTCAACGTATGCAGTTGGTTATCAATATGAAGTGAGATTACAAATGTATATGAATTATTTTCATCACACTCTTTGGAGGAAAGCAAAATGATTTGTTCAAGTTTTGCAGTACTTTTAACCCATACTGTCGATTTTTGGGGAGAAATATGAGGGCCTCGACGGCCTTTTAGGATTCCTCGTAATGCATCAGTACAAATTAATCGAATGCAGCTGATACGTGCGTGAAATGAAGTTAATTCTCGCTTGGATTCGTCTTTTCCCAAAATTTCTTCCTTTCATATGCATGTATTTATGAAGAAAACATCACAAGCAACATTCTGGAGGAATTATGGAACTATAGGTTTAGCCGATGAATTTCGGCATTGGTCGTTTCAATTTCGGCAGCGCTCCTCTCTCCGCTCGGTTTTACCGTTCCATTTCAGTAGAAGACTTCCGATTTCGGTATCCACCGTTTCAATTTCGACAGCGCATGGGAATGTCCTGTTTTTGGTGATTTACATGGGCATGCATAGAAGGAAGGGAAAGAGCCAATGTTTTCATATGAGTCGCTTTCTGAGAACAAAACGCATGATCTGCCGATAACGCAGTCTGGTGTTCATCAACGCAGACGCATAGGATATTCTCGGGGAAGAACCATTATTTAATCAATCCAAGAAATGAGCATGGACATGGAAGTGATTGCAGGCAACGATACGCTCTCCCCTTTGGCATCAAATCAAGTTTGTGCATGTCGAAAGCACGAAAAGGAAGGTAATGAATGTTTCTGAGGAGTTACAGTACGTGCCTACGTGACCGGTGCCTCTTCTATCTCTAGCTACTTCTCTGTCTGACTTTGCTGCAAGCTTTGCCCTGGTCTTCGCCGTCCTAGTTCTCTCAGTTTCAGAAAGGTGCAGCTCACGCTTGACAGCTGCCTTGAATGTAGAGTGGGCCTGTTCTGTCGGATTCAAGAAAGCTGAATATGCTGGCAGAAACTTCGCAAGAACGTCAGGAAAATCATCTGGGAACGAGCCACGTTTGTGGGGTCTAGAATAACGTTTGATGCCATGGATTGGTTCATCTGGTGGCCTAGTCCATGATGGTGGTGGTGTACACGTCTCGGGAGCCCTTCGAAGAATCCCTGATGCGGCGTCAACAGAAACATGATATTCCCTGGTCCTTCCGAAATCGAAATGGCGAATGCCGAAATTGAACCGGAAAACCGAGAGGAGCGATGCCTTAACTGAAACTACTCCTGCCGCAATTGAAACGATTTATGCAAAAATTCGTCAATTGACGACTGTATGTGGGATGCAACCAGTGGTGGACACCCAGGTGGGAGTTTAAGAAGGGAAATAACTTGCTTGAGGTGTTTCTAGGGTCCCATGAAGCACTCCGAGAGGACCTCCCTAATCCACAAGGGTTACGCCTGGCTCCAACGTTTTGGCATAAGGAGTTTCTATGATATCATAGAGAGTGATCGTTTTGACTCGGGTGCAAAATCCTTGCTCCAACTGTCTGGGTTGGGGAAACTCCGTCCGAATATTATTCTTCTTGGTTTCAAGGCCGACTGGCGTTCCTGCAACCCATCTGACATGCTCCAATACTTCAATGTCATCCAGTCAGTCTTTTTTGTGATCACAAAAATGACACGAGTCTGAAGTGTGAAAAGCAAGAGTGGATTTACAGATACACTGTTTTTTTCATGGGTATTTAGTGACGCATTTGACAACCATACGGCAGTAGGGATCCTAAGGCTGCAAGAGGGTCTGGATTACAGCGAGATCCTAGAAGAAGTCCCTGTCTTGGCAAAGGAAGCCATGAAAACCAATAAATCTGACGTCTTTTTCGGTGAGGGTTTTCTCTCATAATTCTCGCCTTTTCTCCTTCCTTCTGCTGCATATAATATCCTAGCGAGTTTCTAATATGTATCAGGTTGCTGCTAACTTCCAATCTGAAAACGGAACCGAGATATTCCATGCCAGTGGATAGACTAGTCCACATTTTCTGTGATCTATCATTCGGAGGCGATACTCGTAGTGATGAAGGGCAGGTTCAAGGGTTTTGGTCTCGGAATGGAGACGAATCCACCAAAAAAGGATGTGGATGCTCACCTTTACCAGGGAAGAACAACTGAAAGTTCAGGCACGGCAGGAATGGTGTCTGCTGAGAGCGTCATACAAAGCCTTCTCATAAGTAATTGGACACGATGTTTCGAACGAAGTCCATCTTTCTACATCAACTAAAAAATATACAGCTTTTATTTAATTTGCTTTCGCAGTCATGAGGAAAGGCTTCACAATTGACGCTTGAGCAACGAAGGAATGTTGCTGCCTGGAGGGAGGCCTTTGAGGGTCCCATCAGAGTCCAATGGGAATTTCGCTAATATTTTACTGGTGAGCCTCATGCTCAATGTATTGATATAGGCGGATGGCACTTTGAGGCACTTTCAAACTTCAGAAATACCTCAATTTAGGCCAAGTATAATTAAAATGACATAATTTAAATATGTGAAAATTTGAAATTGTATAGTGACTTATAGGACATCCTATATCTAATATATATAGACGATCGTGACTGACCGACTGACGCTAATTATAACCGTGTTCTAGAAAAGTTAGAAATCTGAAACTTGGTACACATGTACCTACTGTGGTGCAGATTTCAGGAAAAATCCGACTTTGGAGGTACATAGCCTGGGGGTACACTACATTTTTGGGGGAGAAATTTTTAAGGATATATATTGTGACGGATTAGGATGGCATCGAGAGGCTTCACTAATGTTCTGGGTTCGGTGGTGTAGCGGTAGCACATCAGACTGGCAATCAGGAGGCCCGGGTTCAATTCCAGGCCGTTCTTTGGCGTTTCTTTGACTTCTCATGCCTTCCAACTACTGTTACTCATTCCACCTCCGTAACAATGCTTTTGCTCGAGTTAAATGGAGAGACCCAGAAAGCTAAAACTTGGCTTGGACGTGCCTATCGAGACGATGAGTACGGGAAAAATGTAAAATTTAAGACCCATGCACTGTGGGGACCTATTTTTAGGGGTCGACGTATTCATGGAATTTTTTTTTTTTTGCCCTTGCGGCTTATTGATCTGGTGGGGAAAGATGAAACTTGGTACATAACTACCTATTGGGATACTGAATGCAGAAAAATTTAGACTTTGGAAGTAAATGCCCCAGGGGCACAAATTTCAAAGGGAGATGTTCTCAAATATTTTTTTTGCATCAAACTGGTGAACATGGAAAGCTGAAACTTTGCATGAATGTGACTACTGAGACAAGGAGTTAAAGAAAAATGTTAAGTCTTGATACATCCCCTGGAGAATTATTTCGAGGGGCGATGTTTAAAAAAAATTTGTCGCGGCGAATTGGACAGAAATGGAAGGTGTAACTTGCCACACGTATAAGTGACATGATATTCTTAAGTTGAGGGAGTACTCAGCTTTCATGGTGCATACCCTGGCATAGCTTTTGGGTGTGTCGGCTTTTCTAAACATATATTTTCTCCAACGATAAGGGCAAACGTATAAGGTTGAAAGTTTGTGGGCATGTTGTTCTCTGAGGATTGATTTACGTTTTTAAAAAAATATACTTTTCGGTTAAAACGCCTAAAGGCACATATATTGGAAAAGACGTATTCTCTCGATCCAGCAAAACAGGGCGCTATGAAGTTTAAACCTGCCAAAAAAAAAGAACTTGATGGTTGGGAGAGTAAAGAAAAAATTCTACCTTTATCATTTATAGAGGACTGTGACTAGCTGACTGACAGTCGCTATTCACATGCTGAGTTCAGGAAAAATTCAACTTTGGTGATACATGTCATAGGGGCACACCATTTCGGGAAACATATTTTCAAATTTTCAAATAGTTTTCTTTGCTTCATTGAAATGGAAAGACATGGAAAGCTGAAACCTGGCAAGAACGGGACTGCTGACGCATTGAGCTCAAATGTCAAATGTCAAGTTTTTGGCGGCATATTTCTTGGGGACGTAACGTTATCACAGAATTTTTCATATCCCAGCGAATCGGGCAGAACTAGAAATTTAGGAGTTGGCGCACGCATAACGGACGTGATGTTGATTCAAGGAAAACTTCAACTTTTGTTGTGCGTCTCCTCAGAGCACATCTTATGGGTGTGTCGCTTTTCCAAATACAATTTTTTTCCACAAGCAAAAAGAGGAAACAAATAAGGCTGAAACTGGATGGCATGCAGTTCCCTGAGTCTACATTTCAGAAGAAATACAATTTTCGTTGAAACCCATCATACTTTTTTTAGTCCCATTTTCCTGAATTTTTTTTGATCCAACGAAACAGAGACAGAAAATTTAAACTTCGCTCAGAAGTCCTGTTTGATGACTGTGTTACAGGAAAAATCCTACTTTTGAAATATGTCTACTTAGCGTAGGTTATAGGATGGAAGCATTTCAAAATGTATTCTCCACCCCGACAAAAAGGGACACATGAAAAGGTTTCAAATTAGGCACACTGGAAGTAATCGAAGTAATGATTTTGATAAAAATGAAGACTTTCGTCCCCATATGTCACGTATTTCAATGAAGCCGCACTTAAAACGCGTGTTTCCTATTTTGCCAAATATAAATTAATCACTAACTAAGGTAATGGAACTCCGAAGACGCGACCATAGTAATAGATACGTCTCATCCCCTTGAGCAGTGCAATTTAGATAATTGAGAAGGCCCCTAGACTCACCTAAGTGAACCCCATTCTCCCAAGGCAATGGGCAAGAATTGCCTAGATTTTCCTCGTGTTAAGATACGGCTCTCATCAAGTGTATTAATGGAGTGATTTGAAAAACAATTTTCAATCTGTACTTTCTTCAACCCAACCACAATTTCACATCACCTCATCCCCCCGAACTACCGAACTCACTACCGAACTCACTAACTTTAAGCCTAGGCCTAACCGACGGACTGTCAGGTTAGGCCTAGGCATACCTTTTTCCTTACAAAGAATCTCAATCCTCGACTTACAGGGCCAATTCGGACTATAAGGAATAATTCCTGGTTTTCGAAATATCTCATCGAGAACATGGAACGTTAAGCCTATCGCAGGCCTATTCAGTCTGTCATGGCCCTTTTAAGAGAGTACGTGTAATGTTAGGCATATTACAAGCCTATTTCGAATTTCATGAAGCATTTCATTGCGGATGAGGAACGTTAAGCCTATATAAAGTTCCTCGAAGGTCGCCACGAGTTCTGGGAATAAAATATCTCTAGGAAGCATGGAATACAACTTGGACGCCATTTAGTTAATTTAGGGATGTCCGAATGTGATATCTTCACATCTCACCAAATCGATCGGCCACTGCTGGTCATTTCAATCTCGGCCCATCTAATGAACTCGACACAAAATTACTTAATACATTAAAAAACAGAAGATCCAGACACCGATACTAAGACCGAAGAAGTTATGAATCTGGGATAACTCGGTTATATTGTGGGGAATTTATATTTATTGAATGAGCTGCTAGATGTCAGGCCAGATGAAAGGCTTCACCATGCATGTGTGTCTATCCAAGTACATTCTATGGTAGACCGTGAGAAGTTGTCCTTGGAAGTTCCTTTGCTGAAAGTCGGAGAGATGGCCAATGACGGACTGGCACATCGTTTCGTTCGTAATGTCGAATTCTAAACGGAATCATGGACTGGTCCAATTTACGTCACTCTGTCGATATGATTGAAGTTACTGGGTTTCTATCCAAGATGAAAGATTTAAATGAAGAAAAGGAATTCCAGAAATCCCATGATCGGATCCTCTAAGTGCCATTCCATAAAACTGTCATCAAATAACATGGAAATAATTGTGTCCGATGTAAGGAATTTCTGCTCGAATAAAGCTCAGAATGCATGAAGAGATATCGATCCATGGCGATGACATCCTATGTACATCATGAGGATGACTGCTTCTGGACTTGTATCCATCTCTGGGCAAATGGACTGTCCATGGACAAGTTTTGGATCACCCATGCCTTTTTGGGATTAGGTCGGAAGAAATTTCCCAAAAATGCCTCTTGCTCCATGGTACTTGACACAATCACGCTTGTACCGTTCTGTCCCTTAACTGAAGCTGATCCTTAGGATATGGACTTAACCATTAACTCCAATGACCCCTGTTAGCCGACAATGTCCCTAAATAAGGGACGCCTCTTGAAAATACTGGAAGTTGTTTGTCCAGGTGAGACCGGGGCAGAGGTGAGTTCATTGTCCACACCCCAGGTGTCACAAATGAACCACTCAACCGAGGAAATGCGGATGAAGGGGAAAAAGAAAGTGAGGGAGAAGCAGAAGACCCATCATGTGTCACAGATGTATTGTGGACTGGGTGGGACTCCTTTGCCAAAGACGCTCGTGGACAGCCTGACCCAGTTCCAGCAGAAGCAGAAAGGAGGCCGAATCGATGTGTGGTGGCTGTACGACGACGGTGGACTCACTATCCTCCTTCCTTACATCTTGACCCAGAGAGCCCAGTTCTCCTCTGCATCCCTCCGCGTCAGTTCCAGCAGAAGCAGAAAGGAGGCCGAATCGATGTGTGGTGGCTGTACGACGACGGTGGACTCACTATCCTCCTTCCTTACATCTTGACCCAGAGAGCCCAGTTCTCCTCTGCATCCCTCCGCGTCTTCTCCCTTGCTTCATCCAAGGGAAAGCTCGAGCAAGAGCAGAGAAGGTATCTCTCACTCTCTTCCTTCATATTCTTCGTATTTACTGTCTCAATCCATCCATCGTGAAATTCAGAAAACCTCTTTTCATGATTACAGTTTGGCGGCGCTATTAAGCAAGTTTCGGATCGACTACAGTGACGTGGTCGTCGTTGCTGATATCCAGAAGAAGGCGACACCAGAAACTCACCAGGAATTCGATGCCCTCATTGAACCCTTCAAAGAGAAGGTCGATGAAACCAGAGAAACTGGTACGAGCCCAAAACAAATTCCAGTCGCGCGTAATTAGCTTTGCTGTTTTGCTCATTTGATGGATTTCACATGGTTTTTATTTTGATGCATAACAGGAACTTATATCACGAGTGCAGAACTAGTGGCAAAGCGCGACAAGAGCAATCGCCATATGAGACTGAGAGAACTCCTCCTTCATAATTCTATCGATGCTTCATTGATTGTCATGTAAGTTTCTCATTACAGGGATCGCAGGACTCGGAGTTTGTCTGAGAAGAAAGCAGAACGAAAGTCAGACGTTACCTTGGTGGAATCACCATCTCTTATTCTCCCTAAATCTGCACAGTGTATGGGAGGTGGTCATCTCCGACCCCATACAACTATGAGTATCTTGTAGGAAACCGTGACACAGCTGAAATAAGCTTCTCCCATTGGCGAGGAATCTGTGCGTACATTTCTCCTCACACACTCAGGATGAATATAGATTTTTACTCAGTCGACTGGACGAACAAACGATGACTAACAGTTAAAAATTATTAAGAAATACATTCATCGCCAAAAACAGCACGACTAAGAAAGAATTAAGCGATCATGATGAAATTTGGTTTACAAGCATTCCATGAAATCGACTAGAGTTTCAAATGTGTTTGCTGAATATTCACGGGGAAAACTTGCCAAAAAATCCAATTTCAATAGTGGAAATGGGGTTATGCTTATCGCCGAAAAGGTCACCGAAATTTTTGCTGATGATAATTTGCAATAAAACTCCTGAGCACGTGCAGTAAAATCGAGAATGTTTCTCGAAGTAGGGAAATGAGCCAGTGCCATAATAACTTGCCAGCGTAACTGAGGAATTGGGGTGGGGGGAGGCGGGGTATTAAAAGCACCAGTTTCCTTCCCTCTTTCCCTCAAGCCACTTTGCTACAGGGCCCATTGAAAGTTGATGCACAGTAACCATACAAACTACTCTCCACAGATTCAACACCCGAACATCTTGCTGAAATGTCCTCTGGAGATCTCATATTCGCAGTGCCTTGCAGTTACACACCCTTTATCCTTCTGAATCCAGACTACATTGCGTGCTATTTTTCATATCAAATTAGTTTTTCTGAAGGCAGTCTTAAATTCGTTTTCGATATGGTTTTCTTCTGAAAGTAGAGCCATCAGTTGCCCTAAATCCATTATTTCCCTTGCTGCTTTTATTGTTCCATTTTATTAAGTATAGGATCGACATTTAAAATGTCGAGGTATCTTCAAGTTATCGAGGTATCATGGTTGTATCAGGAGGCGATAACACCCATTTGCATACCTGTACCACGTGTCGAGGACGAGCGTTCCCTATTTTTTGGATAGGCCTACTCCTCTTAAAGCTAAATATTTTTGTATTTTTTCTTTAGCATGTCCTAGCCACTTACTGCCTATTCCCTTTCGTCTACATTGCTCCCCTTTTTCGCTTTGTCCATGAAAGCACCTAGTCTCTTCTTAAAAACAGTCACGGCGCGGGGCACTCACTACTTCATCATCCAACGCATTCCACGCGTTAACCACCCTACAAGTAAAGAAGTCCTGTCTCGACCTGAGCCGCACCTGCGGTTTACGCAATTTGAGATTACCTCTCGTTCTCTTGCTGCTATCGAACAGGAAGAACATATCACGCTAAGGACCGCCGAAAGGAATTGTGAGGCCTGGGGCAATAATCACGTGAGGGCCCCCTTTCCAATCGTCCCTTCCCCCCCCCAACACTAAGCAAACTCAACTCAAGTGAACGAAATCTGCGCTACTGAGCAACAGTACATCAGCCGGCATGGGGGCTCCCCCAGGCATTAGACCCGGGGCAAATCGACCCTTTTGCCCCTCCCCCCTCTCTCTTCGGGCCTGACCAAACTTTACATCATCTATTCCTTTATTTCCCTTGAAAGCCTGGATGAGATAGCCCTTTTTAACCTTTTCTTGCGAGTACAGTCCCAACACTTCTAAACACCTCTCGTACGGAAGTCCCCTAACAGCCTTTATCATTATTGTGGCCCTCCTCTGTACCCCTCGAGCGTTAGCAATTAACCCAAATTTGTAGGCCACCAAAACTGGATGCTATATTCCAATTAAGGTTTTACCAGCGCCGCATGCAACGGAATAATAACGCACGAGTTCCTACTGACAACTGAATGACAGATGAATTCAACTGTAAAACCCTGTAACATTTAGTCACCGTCGCTTGCCCGTGCGGGGAAAACTTGGTCTTCCTCGATAGTAACCCCTAAATCTCTCTCTCCGCTTGCCTCCCCCAGTTTGTCTACGTTGAGGGATCTACCGTTATTTTGACCAATGTGGAGAACTTTACACTTACTTTTATTTAACCTCATGAGCCACTTCATGCTCCACTCATCCAAAAGTCTCATTCTCGCTCAGCTCTGGCCCTATTCGCCTTCCCCCTTACAGGAAAACCTATTTCGTCGTCGGCAAATTTACTATTCTTACCCTCTACGCCTAGATCCAAATCGTTAATGTGGACTAAAAACATAAGCGGTCCCAGGACCGAGCCCAGAGGGACACCGCTTGTGATCCAGATCTCCGTCGAGGTTTCCCCATTTACCATTACTCGTTGTTCTCTTCCCGTCAATCAGTTACTGATCCACTCTCTCGTCCTACCCTGTTTCCCGTGCGCCTCCAGTTCAACCCGCAACCTCTTGTGAAGAACGGTACCGAAAGCTTTCGCGAAATCTAAATAAATGATGTCCACGGGACTCTCCTCATCTCTCATGTTCCGTCGCCAAATCGTTGAATTCGAGCAAATTGGTGAGACAATTTATACGACTTCTAAAGCCGTGCCTCAGCATGGCTTTAGTTCCGGATGAGCGAGTTTCCTTCGAGGAAATCCAAAATGTAGTCCCTTGAGATGCTGTCCATGATCTTCCCCGGAATACGTGTGAAACCTACCGGCCTATAATTCTCCGGATTACTCTTTTTACCCTTCTTAAACATTAGTACGACGTTCGCTAGTCTCTAGTCCTTAGGTCAGTGGTCGGTAGGATGATGGAATGCTGCACGTTTGCGTGCCAACACCTATCAAGTGTCAAAAACATTTTAATTTTGATGAATGTCCAATGTCAAACGTTCAGCCGAATGGCGACTGTCAGACCGTAATGTGCGATAACCGGGCCTTCGTGGGGCAGAGGAAGAGTTTCAGTGGGCCGGATCTGGCCCGCGGGCAGCCAGATGCCCACTACTGCCTTAGGCACTTCACCGCGTGAAAAGCTGCCTTATATTATTCTATGAATCGGTCCCGCTTAGAATATGATTCTAAGCGGGACCGATACTTTCCTCGCGAGTTCCTCGATGACCCGAGTAGGAATCCAATCAGAGCCGGTCGCCTTGCCCACCTTGAACTTCCCCAACATGCTTTTGATCTCGGTGATGGAAATACCTGCAATGCCCGCCGAGGTCACCTCCTCCAAAGTCGGTGCTTCGTCGGACTCGACATTGAAAACGGAAGCGTTACTCGTTAAGTATGACGGTCATATCTTTATTACTCTCATTTGGCTCCCCCCTATTGTTCATCAGAGACCCGATCGACTGTGGGCATCTACCACTAGCATACCGATAAAGAGCCTTGGGATTCGTCTTAGCATCGCTAACCAGCCTTTCCTCGACCTCCTGTCTCGCAGACCTGATTTCTCGCTTCAACGTCCTCGTTATGGTTATACATTCCTCATAGTTCGTTCTATCTTCCGTGATCCCATTTCACGTATCGCATTTCAACACTTTTTCCCTGATGAGTGCTTAAATTGATTTTACCCGTAAACCAGACCGGTTGCCCGACCAATTTTAGGGACTTATTGTGGATGTATTTCTTCATAAACCATGCAAAAACGTCTTGAACGCCCCCCCCCCCCCATTGCTCCTCTACCGTCAGCCCACGGAACCCTCCCTCCCCGTCGGTGCCTGAAACGCATTCCCGTAGCCTCTCGAAATTAACCTTCTTATAGTCCACCCCTGGACTATAGGAAACATACGGTCAAACATACGGTCCGCAGAGGTGGTTCATCCGGCCCGCCGTCTGTTTTTTAAATTTTTCTCTTGGGTTGAGTGTCAGCACAAATTTCAATTAAATATTATGGGTGCGGCCCGCCGACCGGTTTGAGTTAGACACCCCTGCTATAGTCGTACAAACCTTCGTCGGTTTGACAGTACTCTTTGTACGCTTGATATTTCACGTGATCATGCAGTGGTCCGAATCGCCCAAGTTATCCTGAACCTTAACTTCTAGTGCCAGATCGTCGTTCGTCGCGAAAACTAAATCCGATAAAGCTTTCTCACGAGTCGGTTCTACGTGCTGAACGTAAATAGCATCCTGAACCCCAACGAGACATTCCCTTTCCCTTTCGCTCCCCCCTCGCGGCACCGTCCAATCCATCTTAAGCATGTTAAAGTCGCCAATACCTACTTGGAGTTCTCGTTGATATCATGTTGCTTCTTTCTCCGGAGAGGAGTTAGGGAGCTTACAGCAAATTCATAGTACGATCTTCCCTGTCGCCCCTCCGATCTCTAGTATTCGATTGTGCCACAGTTAGCAGAGCTGAGATCTAACGCGAACGCCCAGTTGAGTTCTAGCGTACATGACTCCTCCCCCCTTTCTGACCAGCCTATCCTTACGCAAAATGTCGCACCCTTGAATCGCTAATTCCTTATCCGAAATGTGAGAACTACCCTTAAGTCTTGGTTATTCCGATGACATCGAAACCATTATCCAGTCCCCTCTCCCTGAACTAATCCATTTCATTACGTAAGTTGCGTGCACTCGCGTAGAAACACTTCGTTCTTCCCAGCCTTTCCTGTATACCAGTACACGGCAGTCTAAAGCTGCACGTAGTTGCTGTCCCTTGCTCGTGATCCCTCACCCCCCGAATCTACAACCCTGAAAAAGGCTCCATTTCCTTCATGATAGCCAACCCGACTGCTCCAGCTCCCTCTTTCGAGAAGTGTACTCCATCCCTAGTCATCGGACTTTTACATTGCCTCAGAGCCTCCCTATTGTCCAGAAACACTGCCCCCTCCACGATACAATACTACCTCAACCTGTCGTTAACCCCTTCCAACCTGGATCAAGTGATTCCTCCCTTGTCTAGCCGGCTTTGAATCACCCATGCCCTCACCCGCCATCCCGACCTTGCCTCCCGATACGCCCTAATATCCTGCCTAGGTTGAGGCAGGCAGCCGGCTTGAGGTCTTCCTGCCTTGACACAGAATCTTGACAGAATTCAGGATGTTATTCCCCGTTCTCCCGTTCTGCCTACTTAACGAAGCATCATGAAATATTACGCTTCTAATTCCTTATTGAATTCTTGGACTTTGTGTTGAGTTGTGTTGGGATACTGCAGGACTCTCCCAATGCCGAGAAAGGGGATGATATCAGCCCCACTATACATGGCCTGGTTGGAGATCCTGACTAAGGGCATGCCTCCATTCCTCTTCGTCAGAGGCAATCAGACCTCTGTCATCACCTTCTACTCCTGAGCAACTTCATCTTCAATCCCATTCAAATCCATTCGCGTTCAATCCTTCTCATTGATGCTATCATCATCATAAATAATAATCATATCATCATAACCATGTGCCTGTTGTGTTTGTAGCCATGGTGATTTGTTGTACTTCTCACTTTCTGATGTTTTAGAGAACAGTATCCCCTGGTCTGCTTCTCATTTTCCGACCCCATGAAGCAATTTATTTATTTTATTCCTGTCTCTCCCCATTTTGGATGTCGTTTCACTCCTCCAGAGTGACTTGGCAGATATTCTCTGGCCATGTTTATTTTTTGTGGATTTGTCGGCGCAGTGCCCTTAAACGACTGTTTCCAAAGACGTCATTCTTGCAGCCTTCTAAGTTCAATAGAGCACCAATTGGAACAGAAAGGTTTTACGTTGGAGAAACGTATCATTTCTCGTGGATCTCTTTTTTTTTATATCCAAGTTATTTGTGACAATTAAAAAGCGGCGTGGAACTAATAATCATCCCTATTTTACTTTCACATGGCAATGGTCTAATAAGTATTTCCTTATTGAATCGCGTGCTCATCTACACTAATCGTTGCCGTGTGAGGTAATTGATTTGCTAGTTTTATTGCCTTTTTTGTAAATCTTGGTTGAGAGTGGCCTCAGGTATTTTGTATATGTACCTCATCGCAAGTAATCAGTGGCATTGCTGCCTAAGCCATTAAAACTACCTTTTCTCTAAACATCGGTTATAATACTTAAGCACTTAAGCGTTTGATCAGTCTTCCTTAATCTTGAGGTTAAGAGATTACATATTCTTTGTCGGGGTCACACATGGCACGCCACAGTTACGTTGAGGTATGATGGGCTCATATTCCCAGGCTCTTTATTTCATTACTTGTTTACTGTTGTATTTGCTTTTTTGCATCGCTTCCAATTGCAGATTAACAAATTCCACTTTTAAATAAAACTTTACCATTTTCCTGAAGAATTTCCTTGTATTTTCTTTATAAGGATGCCTCTCGTATCTATATTCACTTTCTTCCACCTGGTGACTCTCGTCATGCTGATAGCACTATTAATACTGAGCTCTTTCCGCCAAATGATATTCATTGTAATTACGGTATGTGATGGTTTCTTATCATTAGCTTGGCGATGAATAAAATGAGTGCATTCACCATCATCCAATCTCAGCAACTATTTTTTTAAAGATCCCGAGAAACTTCGAAGATACCTGGAAATAAATCCACACATGCCAAAGGAAAATTTATGCAAAATATCGGCACATGTTCTTAGATCAAATGAATCCAATAGATTTACTCTATTGACAATGTTTAGCACAATAAAGACTACCATGCATCAAGTTGCAACACCTGATATATTATCTTGGCTCAATAAAGCTAGCTTTAAGACGCCAAATACATTGATGTTAAACTTAAGCCCCTCAGTGTTTATGAATCATGACTTTAAGAGTCAGTAACAATAGAATATGGTCAAGCATTGACTACATATCAATCCTACAAACTGTTTATTACTTTAAATACTCATGATCTCGCTGAGATTCCTTCTCTCTCATCTCATATGTGCATAATAGTAAATTGCTTTTCTGTTTGGTGCCAGAGAAATTCGTTCAGTCCTGAAGTGAGGGTTGAGTGGAGATCCTGGAAACGCCCTAGAAGTCAGGACGAAAACGAGGATGTTGTCAGGGATGTATGCCTCCCGAGTCATTTGAAGAATCCAAGACTTGCGTCGCGTTTTCATCTCTGAGGCATCTGTCAGAAAGGACGACGATGGTGCAGGCAGCGTGAGGCGATCGGGCGAGCGGGAACTCGCCTCCCACGTCTCGTGGATTTCAGCAGGGCGATCAAGGAATACGGAAGAGTCCGTCCCGCTAGCTGCTTCTCGATCACTCACTTTATCTTTGGATCGGATGAATATGAAACACAGGTACGTCTGGTGTTTCATCTGTCGAGAGAAAATCGGTTTGAAATTCTTGGATATAGCATCGCACTGCGGCAACTATAAAATTATCAGAAGCGTGGGAATGGGACAGACATCCAAAGTCGCTCGTGAGTGGTCAAAGGAAAAACGAGGATGCGCATGCGAGGAACACATGCGGTGAGACATGCACCTCGCTCCCTTGTGCTCTCTCTCTCTCTCTGCCAGCTGCGGGAGAGATGAATTCAGTTCTCAGGATTTGTAGGAAATAAATCCATGACCGGGATGGGCCGGGAAGGTGCTTTCTTATATATGCTTTCTTTAGAATCGCCAGCGCGATAGTCATTACCACGATCGAATGTCGGATTCCCATCCTCCCCCCCCCCCCACCCCCCCATCCAATCCCGCAGAATGGCATGTGAAACGATCCAGCTCCGGTTCTCGAATGGAATCTTTGACGTGGGAGACGCGGATCCGTCCGAGTCCGATTCGCGTTCATTCACGAAGAAAAGCCGTCGGATCGATGCAGCTCCGCGCAATCGTCGACGTCGACTCGGTTCGGCTGTTTTCGCGAGTTGAATCTTCTGCTGCCTAAAATCAAAACGGCCTTAATATTGTCAGAAACTTTTCATTTGGAATCCAACAGTTGCTTTCAGTTCAGCCCGAGCCTGTTTAATGGGTGGAAATGGACATTGCGTTTCGGTAGGATGAGGGATGGGGAAAAGTTGCATGCCCACTTTCTCCTTTTTCCTTCTCTTCTCAGCACGCGCCGGGATTTTCTTGTAAGTTCGAAATATTGATACCTTGGCATCCCAAGTCGCCTTTCAGTTAGTTTGTAGTGAGCGCGGAACCACAGAGATTCCAAATAGCGGTAATCTGATACCTGGTCTTCATCAATCATGCGTATTGGATACTTGGTTTCCTGGAGCCCTCCGAATCCATTGATGTGTTTCATAATAAAAAATATCACGGTTCTTGTAATACAGCGCGGTACAGTATAACATGCAAGTAAATTAAGCAAGAAATGAGTCTTACGAAATTTCTCGAAACGAGGATCTCAGGATGAATTAAAATCTGTTACTGTAAAAATTTGTAAGTGATGCTTCTCAGTTTTCATAATTTTCCTTCAGATCAAGATTATTACTTTGAACGGGCCATCAGGGTGTCGTCAATATCTTGTCCCTCAAAAAAGTTATTTTTTTTATTTAAGTCAGTGTTAACATCTAAAACTCCTGTTATATGGTGTTAACGTGAAGCTTCTTATCGAAAAATGACACTTGTCAAGATTACGGTGCGCATGTGAAACGCGATCAGAAATTGGTCACTTACGAGTGAACGAATTCCAGAGATAGGCATTTCCAAGTTCCGGAGTCCAGGGGGACGATGAGGAAGAACAATCTCCTCTAATTTTCTAAATGCGTACTTGTTTTGAACCTATGATGAAGATCAAACATTTAAAAATAATTTTCGTCCATAAAAAATTGCACACATCAAATTTAATCAAATTCCGTATTGATACCTCGTTATCTATTCGGTGATTCCATGTGTAATGATCCCTTCGTGGAATACGTCCATAAGCTTGCTACGAGACACATGCAATAACAAGCATGCAATTCCATATACGAGCATGGTCCAGACGTACCCATGGGTACACTGTAGACGCAGATGTTCTGGTTCGTAAAACAATACTCAACATAGGCATACGATGGCGTGTTTTGTTCACAGAATATTCGAACTTAAGAACCCACTGAACCTTAGGAAAGAAAGCTTTCTTCTTTTCCCCTGTATTCATTTAATCACGAAAAGTAAAGTAATATTTGGTAAAAGTAAATATATAATTTTTCTTCGGCTCGAGCCCTATCCGCATACCCCCTCATGGTAAAACCTATCTTGGTGTCGTCGGCAAATTTACTCATCTTACCCTCTACGCCGAGATCCAAATCGTTTATGTAAATAGACGATGTCCACGGGATTTCCTTTATCCCTCTCTTCCGTCGCCCAGTCGTAGAATTCGAGCAAGTTGGTGAGACTATTTCGACGCCTCCTAAACCCGTGTTGAGAGTCCCGAATGAGCGCGTTTCCTTCGAGGAAACCCAAGAGATGCTCCCTTAGTATTTTGAAACTTTCATACTTTTAGATGTTCGGCACGTTCTAACTTATGGGTTTTAGGTTTCTTATTGGTTTCTAGGCCGTGCTCTAGTTTTCACTTAACATAAGAATCGGAATATTTTCGATTTTTCCCCCTTTGTGAGTCACACTGCATATCTCGGATCGATATCAACATCACAGAAGAACGTCAGATTCTATTTGCGTCGACTGAATTCGCCTATAAAAACAAAGAGACCCCCACGGAGCCTCAAGCCTGCAAGAAACGGTTCACAGCAGCGGAGAGAAAAGGAAGACTGAAGGAAACCTAAGGATGCCGCCATCCGTTGTGCTTTCGCTTCTGTTGGGCCTGGGAGGGAGCTGGGCTCAGAGCCAAGTCGCTCGCATCTACGATCTTCCCAACCAAGACGGAAGCGGAGCCTAGAGCGCAAGGACGGGGTATTGCATGGACTTCAGGAATTGCGGTCGATATGTCACGGATAATGTCGTCTCCAGTGCTTGCGTCACCGGCGTGTGAGTCCTCGAGTACTTGTTCTTTTCCTCAGATCCTCTTTCGTTTCACTTCGCTCGCCGTTTTGCAATAATGTGGCGGCCACAAAAATAATATTGGTAAAAAACCACGACTCACTGAGTTTAAACATCAGCACCTACCGAATGCATGGTATGAGTGTCACTGTCGTTTCTTTCATAAAAAAATATATATGCAACGCATGCTGTCGTACTGAGCATGTATACTCGAGATACCCTTCAGAAAGGAGCCGAGAAGCATACCGCTTTCAGAGATGGTTAGCAAAATGACCATGTACTGTAGGTAGTGTAGGTTGGAACAAGTGCGACGAAAGGTAGAGGTCGTGGGCTCTATCGAGGTTGTACCCGAGGCTTTGCTTGGCATGGAACGGCCAGAACAGTACAAAGAAGCTTGTTCAAATGATAAGCAGTCAGGACGATGAACAAAAAGCTCACCAAAATGGAAGTTTGAAAATAGGAATTGACTCCACTCTCATGAAACTGGTGCGAAAAGCGAGCTAAGACCGCGGTCGTTCATGTTGCATACTAATGAAACCTGCCCAGTGAAAGTGATAAAGAAAATCGATTCACTCATTCGACACGAATTCTGGATTCTTTCCTATTACACAAGGCCTTATAGGAAACGCTAGATTCGCTGAAATAGTGAATCTCTCTAATTCTTCGCTGCTGAATTCAAAGAATAGGAATTTCTACTCTACCGTAGCGCTTGAAATCCAAGATCTAGATCTGCTATTCGCGTCGCAAAAATCCTCGAGAGATACCAGTTTTTCGTTCAAATCCTCTTGGCGTTCCCTCAATTACTATGCTATTTCATTCTTAATTATTTCCCCCCCGGAATTGCCCATTGTACTTTGAGCACTTTGAGCCGTTCAATACCGTGGACTCGGTTTCCGTCATCCTTTCTCCTTGCTCTTTCTCTTTCGCTCCAGCTGGATATTCTACAGCGAATACTCTTACAACTACCAGAACGTAGGAGCCGTGGAATGGATCTACGGGGACGACTACCGATCGAACTTGAAGACCGTCGGCAACCAAGTCTCTTCTCTCAGGTGAGTTTTAATCCCGAGACACGCTTTTCAATCTGACAATCTTTTCAAATACTTCCTTCCTTCGTGGGTGCGTTAATGTACGGCAGTAAAATAAATGGAAATTCGGTTAAAGCGCCAGAAAATATTAGTCCGAATACGAATAATGCATGTTTACATCATCGACGAGAGCGTCAAGAATTCTGAATTTACAGGCTAGACAATAAGTCTCCCGTGAGTTGGTTTAACTCGCCATTCATGTTTCTTTTTTTATTGCTTAAGTCATGGCTTCCACAAATGCCCCCCTATTGAAAACTTTCGAGGATTGAAGTTCAAATTTGGAGCTGAGATTTCCTGATGAAATCAATTCTCTCATTTTCGGCATTATAATGAAGAATTATCATTGATACAATTCAGTTTATGAATTTATCAAGAACCAACATCATGTTTTATGCTTTGCACGTTTGAAACACTTGCCCAGCAAATTTCGTTGAATAGCGAGAACTTCAGTCATGCTGGGAAGTTGATGAATTATGATGACAATTCACAATTTAAGGAAAATAGAGGAAGAGGCAATATGCTATTCTGATGTATGCGTATGGAATAGTGGAAATATTTCCACTGTCAGAGCGACGAAAGTATTTGGGAATGGGAGGGGCTTTAGAAATGGTGGATTTAGATGCTTATCATGTTTAACGCTTACAAGGCTTTGGGTTCCTTGTTCCCAACGTATTCGACTTATGTCAGTGATTTAAATTTATATACTTCGATCATATTAAAAAAAAATAGGAGAGATTCGGTCATTTTAAGGACCTAGGTCGCCTATATCGATGGGGAAATTCGCTCCAACATGTGCATGAAATTCGCTTTGAGACGCGTCATAGCCACAAAAGTCGTTAAGTAACATCTCTAGTAGATTCGTTGTTTCCCACGTGGTCGTGCTGTTTAATATGGAGGCTACGACGAGCTTGCTCCTCGTAACAACTTGACTGGTTAAAGCGGAACGCAATCATGCGGGTGAGGGTTGAGGAAAAAGTACCGGAGCAAAGAAACGGAAAAAAATTGTTCGCAAGCTACCGGCCTTCCAACTCTCGTCAGCCAGGTGGGATGAGGGGGGTGTTGGGGGGGGGGGATGAAATTAAATCAAATTTCGTTCTCTGTTCTGCACTTGTTCTGCACGAGGTTCGATGACTGCTGCCCTAAATGGACATTCTTTCACTGGGTTAAAATGTCTCGTGGATGCATATGATCGATCGAAGGTATGCAGGAGACTCGAAGGACTGGAAAGCGAGCACCATCACGCTCTACGAATTTGATCTGTTCGCCGGGAAGGAATACTACGAGTCGGGAGACTCGACGGAAGTGCCGAGCGAGATGACCACGGTCAGGTCCTTCATCGTCACCGGTCAAGGTTTCTGGACCCTCTATGCGTGCGTTTCCGATTTTTGCGTTGATATAAATTTTGGAGGTGATCGCTCTGCCGAGAATCCGGTTATTTCCGCCAGATCGAAGAACTTCAACGGAAATGGAATTTGCGTCGGGGCCCAGCCTGGAAACTACGCTGGCTTCGCTCCGGACCTGAACGCCTTCGGCATCGGCACCGTCAGGTCCTTCCGAAAAGCGTGTTTCACCAAAAGCACGACGGTCCAGCTCGACTCCGATCAGCATGGCGTCGTGTTGAAGGCGGCGGAGTAATAGTATTCCTCTGAAATAAATTCGTAGAGCATCGCCCGTTGGCTTTGATAAAAAAAAACCGCTTTGTGAATGATGGCTGCATCCGCTGAATGAAGGGAGAAATGCGAAGAATCGAGAGGTGTTTTGTCAGGTCATCACTATTTGACGTCATTTCGATACCGTAAATAACTTTCAGGTTAGCGTAATTTGCTTAAGTTCAAGCCCCTCAGAAAATGTGCATAAATTCGATGTAGCACTGATTCCATAACCGTACTTCGATGCTATAAGCCAAAAATATTGCCAATCAAATCGCATCGTCTAGTAAGTGATGAAGGCTAATCCGGGATCACTTGTCGTGAGGAGGCCCGGAGCACAGATGTATCCCTCATTTACCTGAGCTGAGGTCGTGGAGATGATTGGAGTCTCGGTGCCATTCTTGCAACTTCAGCGGGTCATGCTCCAGGATTTTTCCCTGCTTCCTCTGTGACTTTTTCGTCTTCGCATGGTACATAAGCGTTTATTCTAGTGCTGTGTAAGAATGTGGCTTGGTTAGACCTTCTTTTGTCGCATAGATCATGAACAATATGACATTCTCGAACTTAGGAACACAACCCCACCATGTTCCTAATTTCGATATAATGTCGAAAAGGAATGCGCCTAAGTTCGAGGCAATATCGAAATAAGGAACATACTGGAAACATTTGAGGAAAATTGGAAAAATTCCTCCATTACCAAGGGAAACTAAATTTCAAAGGAGAACAAGTAAACGATCTATTTTCGTGAAAAAAAGATGCGGTCTTTGTCTGCTTTTTTTTAATCACTTTTTTTTAATCACATTTTTTAATCAGTGCCTCTTAGTTGACATGTGCGTGAGCCATGGATGGGCAGTCGGTGGCAAATGGTTGGCGAGTGGTTTGCTGAAGCCTGCTCATGGTCGGGCGTTTCCGGTTCGTCGAGCCAGCTGTGGCTTCCGTGCCCTTCATATGTACCATCGATGAACCAGCCTTCCAAGAACCTGAATACATATTGAATAAAGACCCACCGTACTGCATCTGTACAATACATCTCTGTACAACGCATCACATAGAGAAACTTCAAGCATATTTTGGCAAAAACCTATCTCTTCTTTCACTTTATTTTCATGTTCATCCGGGTGAGATGAGCATGCAATGTCAGCGAAGTCTCCTTTTTCTATGCACCATTCATGTGACCTTAAACCACTGCGAAGATCGGACGCATCGACTGAGCACTATTCGTGTCACTAATCCCATACTGTCGCTAAACAGATGTATTTCCACGAGATGCGTATCCTTCAAATTGTATCCTGCAAATTTGTCTATCTATATTTTCTCGCAAAAGTTCGGACTCAACTTGCACTGATGATACCGATACCCAACTGTTGAATGGTTTAGAGGCGAAAGAGAGACTGAGCCCACAGCGTCAGGTTGCTGGTGGAACTATCCTCTCCTGCGCCACCTCCCCCTTTTCTCCCCCCCCCCCCCCCCCCTCCCGCCTCACCGGGTCGGAATTGCCTGGAGTATCCCTGGGCTGGGATACTCCAGAGGGAGGAGTCTACGATAGTACGAGTTCCATTGTCTTCCTCTTGGACCTACATGGGAAACGATGAGGAACTGTATCAGAGGTGCAAGAGGCTCATTTCAACAGAATCCGGGTATTAATTCCTCCGACGAAAACTTAAATCTCTCACCGGTTTGGAAACCGTTCGGATGGCTGTGAGATGGTTTGCCCGAGACTTTTTGCGTGGTTCAACTTGCGTACGTTCCACGTCGGGCCAGCAGTACTTCTGCCACTTCTGCAAGGCCGATGGATGGGGGAACGATGGCACGAGTGGGGCTCGGTCGGCCCGATCGTTCGCCGACGAGCCAACCTTTCCAGCTATGGGGAGAACATAATAGTTCAACTATTTTTTGACTGGGTTATCGTTTGCATTTTGAAATGCTACTGTCTGCTGTGGACATTTTCCGACCGGAGAAATCAGGAATGCAGTGCTTGCAGGAATCTCGCAAGGATTTGAAGAAAAAAACTCGCCAGAATGCGAGGCTCCACGACTTTATTTCTAGGGAAGATGGGCGAGATGCGAAATCATTTCTTGGCCTTGGAGACGACGCCGTGCTGATCCGAATTGAGATGGATCTTTTCGTCACTGAAGCACCCTCGTCGGAACGACCTAACCGTGGTGATACCGTACTCGTTCAGATCCGCAGCGAACCCCACGAATTCTCCCAGCTGGACCCCGAGGCAGACTCGGTCCCCGCTGAAATTCGTCGACCTAGAGGACCCACAGAATTTTCAACATCGCGGGAAAAAAAAGTCGGATCGGGCAGAAGAGGAGACTCACGAGTATATGGTCCAATAATTGTGACCTATGATGATGATGGACCCCACAGCGGGCATCCCTTGCACATCGGTCGTGTCCGCCCACTCGTAGTATTCCGACCCGAAGAACAGATCAAACTGGAAGAGCGTGATGGAATCGAGCTTCCATTCGTTCGCATCGCCTGCATACCTGGAAGAGAAAGCTTTCCCCGACGAGGCAGGCGACTGAGCGGAATAGTCCAGAAGATTCGCGGTCGCTCACCTGAGAGAGGTGACTTGGTTGTTTGTCGTCCCCAGGTTGTAGCAGAAGTCGTCTCCGTGGATCCATTCCACTCCTCCAAAATTATCACTGTTGTAGTAGGCTTCGCTATAGAATATCCAACTGGAAGAAAAGAGCACGAAGGAACGATGAACTGCTTCGGGGGCGTGGAAAGGCGCGAAAGAAAGCATGGAAACGGGAAGAAATCTTCGCATCTAGTTTTCTTTCCCTTCCAATAAGATCCGCAGAAGAAATTTGAGCCTAATTCCTAGGGAAATTCCTCGTGAGGTCGATGGAGCTTCCGTGGAACCTTGCCCGAAAGAATCATGAAGAATTCCCGCGATGTCGTTCTAGAGAATTACCGTCGCAAAACAATTTCACGATCGACAGGGATCTCGTCCGGCCGGTCGTGTATCGTCTTCAACAAAACATTCCACATCTTTAAAACTCTGAACTGAAAAACTTACAAGTTCCTTTAAGCGGTTCGAACGGTATATTCTTGCAACCGATGCCATACATCGTATTAGTGATCTCGAAAATCTCCAGCTCACCCACACAACACATCCCCACTCCCGCTCACCCACCCCACGAGTCCAAACCCACACTTCCTTCTTTCCACACGTTGAAGGAAAATGATTGTGAAAAAAATTTCATTCCAAGCGAAAGATTCTCTTGTATTTCGGAGCTCAGAAAAGGCAGAGAGAGGAAGAAAAGGGGAAAGGGAAGGAGGGGATTGGGGGGGGGGGAATTTCTGGCCAATATGCCAGTCTAACCCATCCTCTTCTATGGTGAAAAAATCTCTTTAGCTCAAGGACGACCTTCACGAATTTCTCTCCAAAAAGAAGGTTCTAGCATTCGGACCTAACTCTTTCTGTAAAGAATGAAGAGAAGGTCTCGCTTGGAATGGCTTGGACTGGTTATTCGATGCGAAGGCCCTGATGGGTTTGGGAATATTTCTTTCGGTCTTCCATCTGCTTGCACGGCAAAGCAGAAATGCAAAGTGAGGTGAATATTTTTCGCTTTAAGAGGTACAAACGTGTGTCGTAAAATACGTTCGTTGAAAAGGTACCGAAGCAAATGTACACATGTGTATCTTTTTTATCTCTATTCAGAAGGTACGGACGATGTCTTTTTTTAGAATCCCATGAGTACCTCGTTTCGGGCTTAAGGGCGCATGAAGGATCTGCTGATGAATCTCAATTTTCAGCTTGGAGGAGCTTTGAAGTGAGCTTCAATGACATCATCATCCGGTACCACGTCTCCGACAGTCGGCGAACAGTCACAGATAAGACGGTGATAGTTCGGGAATGTGTTTACGACGCAACAGGACGTACTGGCTCTCTCATGCCTTCACTTGATAATCAGGGATACGGTAGGTTCCAAGTCCACACTGTCCTAGAGTAGAGGGTGTAACTAAAAGCGACACTCCACTCGAATCCTATTCATTGACAGGGTCACAATATAGATGTCGCTGTCGATCCTCCACCTAGCGTGTGCACATCAACTCCTCCATGGCCGAACAGCGGACTCAGCAGGACACTTGTGTTACGTCGAGAACTCCCTTTGGGTCGAATCTCTGAACGAGTCAGTTCCTGATTCCGTTGCCAAGAAGCACGCCCCTCGGAAGTGTTGTTGATAACAAGTCACCAGATCGCCTCTGCGATATTTCGACCCTCGCATACCCTCCAAGTGTCATCTTAGACACCTTAGAGGTGACACTTACAGTCTCCACTCTATGATTGTGAGGACAATCTTTCAATTTTATTGAACGTCCGAAAAAAAATTAATTTTCGTCTGAGAAAAAAACTCCTTACCTGTCAGTTCACACTTATCTGTGCTCGTGCGAAAACACCAGCATTTAAAGTTTCCCAGAATCAGGGAATCATGATAATTATACTTTAGCAAATACTGCTTTACAAGTATCATTGATTAGATGAATACAGGAAAAGGAAGAAAACTCTTCTCCTAAGGTCCTGTACGTCCAGATTCGAGTCAGAATGTTCGGGGAAAATAAACGCCATATTAGGCCTATTTTGAGTATTGCATTGGAAGTCCATCTATTACCCGGACATTTGCACCCGCAGCGTACATATTTGTACGTCTGGACCACATCCGTACACAGGTACGTAGGGACGTAAGCATACAGACTCGAAGGACACAAATGCGTACGTCACGCATTTCTACTTTGCTGTATGTGGATGAAATGGAGTTGCGATTTGGCGCTTGTCATCATCAGGGTCCATCCATTTCAGTTCTTAAAGCAATTCAGAGCGAACCCGTGCAAGGTCACTTCATTCCATTTTCTTCAGTTCGTTTTCATTTTGTTTTTCTTGAACAACTTTGCCAGAATATTGCCGAGAACGACTGCATTTCCATCGATGGCCATCATCTCATAATTTCAATTATTGTCACGATATTGCGGGCACGCGGAGATGTGGAGATCCCGATCGAAACAAAGCGAGAAAAGTGAAGGAGAACTCACACTCCGGTGACGCAAGCGCTGGAGATGACATCGTCCCCGATGTACGGGTCACAACCGGCGTCAAAGTCCGTGCAATACTGATTCCTGAAGCTCCACGCCCCGGTCTCGTCATAGTTAGGCAGATCAAAGATGTAAGCGCCCTGGTCCTGAGCCAGGCTCAGACCCAGGCCGAAGAGGAGCGTGAGCGCAACGGATCGCTGCATCCTAATATACCTTCCTACCTTCTTTCTCTCTCTGCGCCGATATGGACTGGCTCTTGCAGGCTTCTAGGTTCCACGGGGGAGGGGGGTTGCTATTTTTACCTGCGAAATGTTCACAGGTGATGCAATGGGAATCCGATATCGTTCTCTTCTAGGGTCCTGGATATCGAATCGGGATTCCCAGCGCGAGTCACGAGGCGAAGAGGACAAAATGCGGCGTCTCGCTTGCGAGAAACTCGATGACCCAAAGACCCATTCGAGCCGGGATGCATTCGTGTTCCAGTTGGGGTAGATCCCTGGCATGCATGATATTTTAATTCGTCCGATGGGGAAGATCGAGAAGTCTCGGACGGCGCAGGATTTGTGCGAATTCCTTCTATTTCTTACGTAGCTCGTCGAGGACATGAAGGCCGGCGAATTGGGACTCGTGGGTTCGTACTCGAGTGCAATGATATGTCATAGATGGCATGCTTCCGATGAGCATGCAAGGAAACATACTGCACAGATTTGGCTGGTCTCAAAATGTGCTCTGCAGTGGACAATGCATTCATCGAATATTTTGCAATCATACTCAAATTAAGGGAAAGACGGATCGTTTTGGCAGAGACGGGAGAGGATCCGTTTACCGCATCGTATTTGACTCACCTCGAATCCCCAGGAAACCGATGAAGAGGGTCTGCGAGCCGACAGCCGGTCGAGAATGCGTGCGACTGCGATCTCCCGACGAAAATCTTGCCGTGCAGTCCCGGTTCTTTTCTCTCTTCGTCCAACGTTCGTGTATCGTTCTGTGGGCGGACGAAACGAGGGGGAAATTTCAATATTTCGATCAACTTCGCGTGGAGTCATTCCGCACTTCAGTGCAGCAAGCCGACGTACACGTTTTAGAATGGCGCTTTTCAATTTCTCTTTCATCGCCTCGTCCTGTTCTTTGTAGTTGGTGAAGGAAACCCTCGCTCGACCGCCCTTTCCTCCCCCTCTCGGCTCGGTTCGTTTCTACCACGAAGAACAGGGAGGAGCAGAAACGAGGGAAACGGTTTTCCAGGTTTCTCCGCATTGAAAGTCTTCCCGCTTTGGTCCCTCGGGAGCATTCCACGCCCGGCACGACGACCTGCCGTTAGGCTCTCCGCTCGTGGCATCTTCTCGACGCCGTGGGAATGCATCGGAATATCGTCTCGAATCGAGAAAACTGTTTCATCGTGAGGAAGGAAAGCGAGGGAGGGGCTGGTCAGGGAGCACGAGACCATCCGGTGATTCATTTCGGTGAGGTTTTATTTTCGCGGGCGAAAACAGATTCCCAGGTGTGTTTGGAAACCGATTCCCTGCCCTTTTTACGATCTTCCTGATGTCGGTCGACAGCCGAAGACTCGAAAGCAAACGTATTCCAAAAGTTGTGGTTCGGGACCTTCTTCGGTCGCTCTTTTGAGTTGACGCCCGTCCAAGTTTCTCTCTCTTTCCTTTCGGAATATTGCACACTTTTATGGACTTCAAATCGGCACAGATGTGTCATTTCGAGTTTCTCGTTCGGGTTTTTGTCGGTCAGCGGGTGAGGAGGAGCATGATGAGCTGTCTCCATCCGCTTTAGAGCGGGGAGATGTGGCAAGTTTCGTGATGGCGTTCGAGCGAGGACATTTCGGTGCCTCATGAGATCAGGTCCTAAAATTCAGCTGATTTTAATATTTTATTTGCGACGGGAATCCGTACGAAGCTCTAAATGTATTGCGTGCTTGCGATAAGCCGACGAGAATCGGTCTCCAGCTGGGGGCGTGAGCCTCCGCGTCGCTTCCATCGCTCGGTGCCAACGCATCCTGGGAATTCCTGCACGTGCGACCCTTCCTCCGCGATCGCTGGGACGTGTCGGTTTTCTCAGCGAGTTCGGTCGATAAGCGTCGGTCTGCGGAGGTGGGGATTCCCGCTGCTCTCGATGTCCTGTATTCAAACGTTTATTCATAAACGCTTGCGAGCAACAGGTCAGCCTCTGCGTGGCGTCGAAGAAAGCCTCCGAGGATGAAGAACACCTTTTTTTTCTAAGCGAGGAATCAGACGGTCATCGTGGCGATGGCATGGCGGATGCGAAATCAAGGGGAGGGGTCGCTTAAAATGCCCGAGAACGAGTACCTTCTAAGTTCATTCGGCTTATGCCCGTAGCTGCTTACTCCCATTGAACCTACTGGGACGAAATAGTTGGTTTACGCCTACCTCGCTGCCGCAGTTCGAAAATGCATACATATACCTAGAAAAAGTTTCAATATGCCGAGTAATCCAAGGGAAACAGTCGCTTATTGCCACAACGTTTTTTTTTCCCGTCATGGGGAGGGAACTTCATATTGGATAGGACAGGTGTCGTTTCATCGGTATAACAGAGTCCCCATTGCAGAAATTCATTAATGCCTGTACAGGCAACGTACATTTGGGACTGAGCCCATGAACAAGGTCGGTGACAGAATGGGACGGAAAGCAATCGGTGGCATAACAAGCCAACCCCCGGGGGTGAATGTCCCAGTGTGTCTACGTCGACGTCGAAATTGCCCCGCAAACTCCATGACCTTGTGGCATAATGGCACAACCAGAGCAAGTTTTATTCCCAAGTCTTATCAAATGGGCCTTCTTGACTGGATGAACCTCACAGTCTCGATCGTCGTCATGTCAGTACGAATTCTGGAGGGTCTGCGAGGAGGACGGAATCTTCTCCATGAAGGATATCTCTTCAGATTGAACAGGTTCGAGCCATTTTCACAGTCTGCATCTGAAATTCAACTGGTCCTGATTACTCTTACCCCATGCATTTAATTCTGACGTCAATACTCCAGAAGACGAGGTGAAACGTCTCACTGGAAATGCTATAATTTTCGCTGCAATGCAACGGTCACTATCACTGAAGATGTGTTGCTGAAAGCCTCTTTCGGGAAGCACGCACACGAAAAACCCAAAGGCAATGTCCATCGGCTTCGGTTTGCCTCAAGACTCCGAGAGCGAGTGAAAAGGGACCAACTCACTCCCATACCAACCTTGTATAGGGAGGAATTTTTGGCTGTGAAAGCCGAACACTCTGAAAAGAAGAATGGCTTCAAGCTTACGAAACGGTGAAAAGTACTCTATATCGAATCAGATCCAGCACTTTTCCAAAGATGCCAAGGTCACGGGCAAAACTCCAGATCCCACCCGATTATCGGCTCACCCTGGATGGCCGTCCCTTCCTTTTACGAGATGAAGGCGGAGCGAAGAGAATACTTATTTTCAGCACTGCAGAAAACCTTTGGAAAATAGCACATGCTGAGCAAATCTTCATGGATGAGACGTTCCACGCGTCCATGAAACTGTTCTTCCAGCTCTATACAATCCATGTTGAGTTCAAGGGAAAATTCTTTCCTATGCTGGCTGCTTTCCTGCCGGAAAAAACCGAGAGTACCTATCGACGTCTTTTCGGCATCGTTAACGACATCTTGGAACAGCATGCCCTTGAACTAAAGCCGAAGTGTGTGCTAGTGGATTTTGAGCGTGCGATCCTCAATGTGCTCTCTCAATCTCTCCCCTGTACAACAATTAAGGGGTGCTTCTTCCACTTCACAAGTGCTCTCTGGAAGAAAATTCAGGATCTTGGACTTTCTTCCCAGTATAGGACGATCGCTGACGTCCGACGATGCCTTCGTCGCTTCATGGCTTTGCCCCTCATTCCCTTATCGAAGCTCGATGACGCTATCCAACTGGCGATGGAGACCTGCACCGAAGAAGTGAGCCTGAGAACTTTTTTTGACTACTTTATAGAGACCTGGGGAGATGACATGTCCCCCAAATTCGGGAGAACTTTATGGAATCATGCTGACAGCAGGCAACACAGGACAACAAATGCTGTGGAAGGTTGGCATTCGAAGATAAACAAGCTTCTGAAAAAGAAGCACCCTGGTATTTTCCAGGTTATCCGAACCCTTCAGGAAGAGCAGTCCTCAGTCGAATCTGCAATCCAGAAGCTCCAAGCCAGCTCAGGCATCCAGGCGAAAGAGAGACCTCGGGACGTGCAGCTGAAGAACCTCAAAAGTGCCTTGGTCCAAGAAGCAATATCTCTCGGAGAATTCATGGAATGTGTCGCTGATATGTTTGTTAAGAGTCGTACGTGAACACGTGCCATTCAATGCCCATACATTAATGGAATAAAACAATTGAAAATGAATTTGTTGTTTCACCTGTACTGGCAAAGATGCATCATCATGATGCAAAAATGGGGGGAAACCTCTACAAATAAATTTGCAGCAGACAGAGAATGACTGCTACAGTGGAGCTATACAGCTTCAAAATAGCCTCTTCATACACGTCCCTCTTGCGGTGGAATGGTAGAGTTGAGGATCAGATATCTTCACGATGCAACCTTCATGGGTTCGAATCCGTAGGCATTCTGCTACAAAATATGTAGGTGCTGTGGGACACTGATTGGCATAAAGGGACTCTGAAATTCAGGTAGGCAGAGTCGCACACAATGGAAATAGGCATAAGGGGAGTAGGGGCTTACGGAACCAAACCGACTGAACACGTTCCTGTAATTTGAGCTCATCATCGTCTGGGTATTTGACCTTTCTCACAGGCATGATCTCTTCACATCCTATACTAATTGGAGTCCTTTCTTGGTTACGATGAGCTCTTAGCATTTCTCTGGACTTAGATGTGGCCTTCTGAGACCGAACGGTCGTGGAAATGTTGGGCCTGCGCTGCATGGCAGGTGAAAGCTGATTCTGATGTGATCGATGCAGTCGGCGTATTTGAACATGATGGCGTTCGGATGCAACAGAGCGGTGCAGTATTAGTTCTCGACCTTTTACAACTCGCCGACCCCTTTTGGATTAGAGAGGAACTGCGCGGACTGCCTTCGCTATCGCGTTGATTTGCAAGTTCATACAATTAATGCAAGTAATTTTGAAGACTTTAAGTTGACTGAAAGGGACCTTTTTAAATTATCTGTCTTTTCGTCCGTCATTTATTTTTGGCTTAGGCATGGTTTCGCCGATCCCCGGTTGAGAAACGCTGGTGTAGAGGGTATGCAGAAAAAACGGGGACGAGACGCCTCCCTGCTCTACAGGGAAGAGCGTGACACTCGGTGAATCTTTCCCCTTCTGATCTGCGTATTCTCTCCGAGGCGGCGGGCGATTCCTCCGCGAGGCCAGCCTGT